TCGAACCCGCGACTTCTTGATCAGAAGTCTACCGCTCTAAACATTTCGCCAAGAACTCTTTGTATTGCCAGTTTCGATCAGGACCTGATCGGTGAGGATAGGGTCAAGGCATAGTCAAGAAGACTGCGAACAGGGAATAGCGCAGGTGGCCGGTGCAGCGGGAAGTTGCACCTAGACGTGCCAACACCCGTAGGTGCGGAATTTGTTATGGGTGTACATCCGTAATAACGCATATCGTGCCCTTCTCTAGCCAAATGTTGGTCCAACGCATCTACCACGCGGTCCGTCTAGGGGGCAAGCTCGATTTACAACTACGCAGACACAAACTGGCCATTCAGAGGGACGAGCTACTATTCTGCTTATTACATCCTGGGGTAGGACCACATATTCAACTTAATGAGCCTAGCTGAAGTGGCAAGCATGGTTCGCATTTGGAGTAGGCAGAAATTTTATGGATGAGAAGGCTCGCGTATGAGTTCAGAAATACAATCCCAGATATTCTAGATATGGCATTCAGTAAAGGTGTCTGATGACGGCTAATAAGGGAGAACCGATCATTCCGGTCCTCCTTGTTTTTGTCGGGGGTTTCCTTCTACATACATTCCTAATTATCACACGACTACCTGCGAGGACTCTACTTTGAGCCTCAAGGTACAGCTTGGCGATCAGGTCCAGTGACCTGTTCGATATGCGTCCAACAGCCACTGAAATAAGTTTTTTGATCTATTCTACTGAATAATAGTAAGCATATATATGTCCTATATAAGAGACCAAGGGAAATTCGCTGTGCTTAAATCGAAACACAAAATCAATCTGCCGGGCGAACTTACACTTTCGAGGGCTCAAACAGCTGTTCCGTTGGGGCCGCCTTCTCCTGAACTGTAAAACAGGGATAAAATTAGGTGTACAATGTTGAATTTCTAAACAGATAAGAAACTGAAATCACGGGTTTGCAAAACAGTAGCGAAAGGAAGCGGTCGACCTCCAACACAGGCAATATGAAGCCGGCAGTTTGCTTAAAAACCCGCTACATGCTCATTGTTTTCCGGAGGAAGGCGAAGAAATGCGGATTTTTTCTAAAATTTACAGAACTTTCCGGTTGCCTTGAGCCCCAGGTAAGTACAGTTTGGTGGCCATGAAACTCTGTCAGGAACAAACAAATCTGCCGAGCAGAAATGCATGCTGGCACATTAATCCACGATAAGATGGAAAAAGTTGCAATTCCATAACTGGGGCATATAACAGAAAATGAATTGTGAGCGCTGGTGGGCACAATGATGAACTGAACCCCTCACAGTTGCATTAATGTAGCCACAAAATAAAAGATTGCGAATCAGTAGGGTGAAACATGCAACATCTCTCCAAAGGGGTCCCCAAATGCTCATTTTTTATCAGTGGGTAAAATTCCCAAAAAGACCCGTTTGCGCAGCTGCTTTTTTCCATATACGAATTACAATACTCACCTTCTTTCAAACGCTGATTTCGGATACAGGCGAAGAGGACGAAGAGGAAGACAATCAGAAGGAAGACGAGAAAGACGGCGACGAACCAGGTGGCGCTGGCACCCTGGAG